TCTGGAGGAGAGAGGGGAGAAAGTCCCCAAAGCACATAAACAACCTCCCACATACTTGATGTTTGTCGAAAACAACTCTGAAAGAAAAAACAAAACACAACATATTACAAATGTTGAAAACAAGCTAAACTGAAGCTTGCCGACAGATTTTCTTCAATGCTACAATTCAGCAGGTTTAGTTCAAACCAAGACTCGAGATAAATGTGAAAGTGACACTTTTAAACACTGATCAGCATTGCTCCAGTGCTTCAATGGCATGGAAATCGAGCAAAGAACAGATAATGAAACACGTGAAACCCAGAAAATTGAGGAATGATGACAAAAGCCACTCAATGTCTTGGAATAAAGAATAATGGGTCTCATTCACTAACCATGCACAAATATGTATGTGAAATCTACGTACAAACATTATCACAAACATGAACATGATTATCAAAATGTTTGTACTAAAACATACTATAAAATGTTCCATGAAGATATTTTGTAAATTTCCTACTGTAAATATATCAAAACTTAATTTTTGATTAGTAATATGCATTGCTAAGAACTTCATTTGGACAACTTTAAAGGCGATTTTCTCAATATTTTGATTTTTTGCACCCTCAGATTCCAGATTTTCAAATAGTTGTATCTCGGCCAAATACTGTCCTATCCTAACAAACCATATATCTATGGAAAGATCATTTATTCAGCTTTCAGATGATATATAAACCTCAATTAAAAAAAATTGACCCTTATGAATGGTTTTGTGGTCCATGGTCACATATGTTTTGGGGGCAAAATACATTACCAAGAGTCAAGTCAGATATTCGACAGTCATAATTACGTTAACACACAGGGAAAAATGTGTAACGGATGCCTCGCAGATACAAATGGGGTAAATAATGTTTTATGTTTTGATTAACAGTTAACAGTTAACATTAAACGTCAGCGAAACCCTAAGAATTCACAACATTTTTACAATAGTGCTCTCATTATAACGTTATGTATATGACAGTAGTTATTAATGTTCTGCATTTCTGTTTTGAGCTGTGCGCGCTTAAGATGACCAGTAGAAAGAAGCAGCAGGTTCTATGTGAAATCAGACATTTGAGCACCCCCAAATAGCCAAAATGGCATGATCATAACACCCCGCGAATATTAGACTGTGAGATTGGTAGTCGAATCAGGCTCCTCCTATCGAATCTTCGACTATTCGGGGTCACCCCTAATATATATATATATATATATATATATGCTGGCTGACAATGAGTGTGGAAAGCCCTTATATGAAGATGCTTTGGGTGTGTTTTGTGCAAATGACTAACTATGGGCATGTTGGTAACTCATTTAGAATACTCCAAATTAATTAATATTTGAATGAGGTTATGAACAAATTCATATTTTCATAAATTATTTTATTGTTTAGTGAGAAGTTGTCCTGTGCATATAAATAATCTATGCAGTTATTAGTGAATGAGACCCAGTGTTCTTTTATTTCATCCAGGACCCTGTGCTTGCCCACCACTCCCCTGCTCTAGCTGCTTCCCTGGTGAGCACATCAGCACCATCTGCCTACAAAAAGCCCTCGATGCATCTGAAAATGTTCCTGCCCTTCACCTCCTCACACCTGCACACATCACATAAAAAAAGAAAGTACCTTTACATGGCACGTGAACACAGACATCTGTTGCATTCTCATTCTTTCAGCAAACAACTTGACAGGAAAACAGTAATGTGTTAGAGGTGATGAGAACAATATTTAATGGCAGAATACTTTTTTCCTAGCGCAGTTTAATGTGCAAAGAACACCACAAGTAATGCATCTGTAGTTTGACTTCTGCAAAGAGTGTTCAATGTGGCTCTGTAGTGTCGGAATGATCTGAAATAAAAAAAACTTATTGCTAGCGACTGTCTATTTATCTCAGCATTGGCAGAATGGGCACCAATTTAGAACATTTTATATTTTATATTTTATATTTTAAAATTTATTTTTATTTTTATTTATTTGCAATTGCATTTGGAATTCTAGTGCCACAGAAATTATAAACTTTGTGATAATGACCAATTATACACAAATATTTGGTCACAGAACGTTGTGACTGACCATTTAGAATCAACCATGACTAAGTATATAATTTATGCATGTAGATTACATAACTAAAAACTAAAGGAAATGTGTAGATGTATATTGCTTTTTATTGTGAAATAAAGGCTTATTTCCCCAAAGCTCAAATGGGATTCAACTCATTGAGGGAGCTGTTCCATTTCATTTACGTGCTGGATTGGAACCAAGAATCATGAAAATCCTTTTTTTTGTGCCTGTTCAATAATTGTATTGGAATCCTGAAGACTTTGTTTCCAACTCACAATTAGTTCAGTGAGACAACATGGCTTCAGGTAGTGTTTCTATTTATTCCTTTACAAGGCTGGGTAATAAAACAAATAACATTAAAAAGCTATTCCATTCAGCATGAAGCAATGCATGTCAACCAGCCATACTTATGAATTTAATAGCTTGAGGGAGAAAAAATGGTTTGTAAAAAAGCGGCTACACTACAAGTATGCCACTTACCAACATATTTCAGACATTTTGGTGTGCCAGAATATATTTGTGGACTGTTTTGATCCCATGAATGGTAAATCCCAGGGCATATTGTAGATCCTTCTTTCCATGAGCACTGACGGCCACTTGTTGAGCTTCATTTTTCATGTGTGACATTTAATCAAAACAGCAGTAGCCCCAGCCTTTATTTAGCTAGTCATCATTACTGCTCTAGGAGACAATTACAATTCCTCTCAACTTCTGTCATGTCGATTCCCTCATTTTTCCAAGGCAGCAGTTTTATCAGATATGTTGTCTTGGGCGTTGACACATTCCATTTTGAAGTGTGTACATAATAAACAACTGTGACAGAGCAGAAATTTAATCAACACAAAAGTAGCGGCTTTGAGCTGTGGACATGACAAGATGCACCCGGTGTTGTTGACTAAGGGAACCCATTTTCATCTGCAGAAGCATCCACCAGGTTACATAAAAAAACAGCCCTCCAAACACAGAGCAATTATACCAGACCTTCTTATTAACACAAACACATGTTTCTGTTTGCAGAGAGCCTGACATTAATCAAGGCATTGCCGCTGAGTACAAATCAATCTTGCATTACTCCTAATTACTGTCCCACGCCCAGGCTCCTCCACTTGAGCAATTTATTCAAGCGTAGACAGATCACTAGTCTCTTTAGATTGGCCTCACATCTATGTGGTGTCAGTAAAACAGTTTGCCATTTATGGGCACATTTTGGCTTATGATGTATTTACACTGCAGCGTCGAAATTCTGCTCAGTGCCACTGACTGCGCTACAACACCTTGGTTTTGGGGTGAGTCTGTAGTGAGAGTGTTTCACACATGTATGAGTATAATTTGATAAAACAGATATAAGCTGGCAATTTACTTAACGCCTTAGCAATAAACACCAGCATATGCATGAATTGCATATGCAATTCATAAAAAGTACAATTATACAGTGCCCTCCATAAGTATTGGAACAGTAAATACAAAATTGCTCTGCTTGCTGTGGAGTCAAGACATTTGCAAATAAGTTTAAAAGATGAATATGAGATAAAATTACAGAATGTCACATTTTATTATTAGCTGTTTCAACACATACATGTTTTACCAAATAAAAAAGGACAGCACTTTTAGAGTTCATCCCACTACCTGATGTGAGCATAAGTATTGGACCAGTTGAACTTAAGGCAGATGTAAAAGATTAAAAACTATTATTTTGCTGCAGATCTCTTGCGCGCAATCAGAGCAGGGAGTCTGCGACCTATAGACATCACCAGACTCTTGGTCTTATCCTTTTAAATGCTTTTCCCCAGACTTTAATGGAGTTTCTGCCTTTAGTCTCCTCTTCAGCTGGTGAAATTCATGTTCAATCAGATTTAAATCTGGAGATTGATTTGGACAGTCTAAGACTTTCCATTTCTTTGCCCTGATAAACTTCTTGACTGAACTGGCAGGGTGTTTTGGGTCATTGTCCTGATGCAATATGAAGCGCTTTCTGATGATTCTGGTGGCATTTTCTTGAATATTGGTAGCCAAGGTGGTTTTGTACCCTTCCAAATTCATTCTGCTACTGTCATTATACTTTAAGTCATCATTACAATTGAGAGGGCCTGCTCCAGAGACAGCCATGTATGCCCATGCCATGACACCACATCCACCATACTTTACAGATGAGGCTGTATGCTCAGGATCATTTGCAGTTCCCTTTTTTCTCAACACTTTTGCTTTGCCATCACTTAGATAAAGGTTACTCTTTGTCTCATCTGTCCATAAAACTCTGTTCCAAAACTATACTGGCTTTTTCAAACTCTAATCTTGCCTTTCTAGTTTTGGTGCTGGTCAGAGGTTTGCATCTTGGTGTAGCCTCTGTAATTCTGTGTCAAAGTCTCCTGCAGACAGTACTGTAGATTGTCAGAGCATCACCCCAGCTTTCTGGAGGTTGTTGGTGATTTCACAGACACATATTTTAGGGTTATTTTTCACAGCTTTTATGATTTGTCTATCATCAACTACTGCTGTTTTTCTCAGCCGATCTGGTCGTTGTTTGTTGCTGATGTCGCCAGTGGTTTCCAAACTCTTGATTTTTCTATACCCTTTGTTTTTAATTGACTTCCTCTTTTCTTTTAGCATCCAAATTGCTTGCTTTTCTCTCAAAGTCAGCTCCCTTGTCTTCATCCTGGTTTGTGTGTGCCGTCATCGAATGCAAGACTCAGAATGCAGAAGCAATGGGTATAACTGATATGACACAGATATCTGATGCTTTTACTGCTTTTAATATCTGAAGAATTAATGCAACAGGACACAACCGATCACTTAGAAAGACCTGTGAGGCAACTGTTCCAATACTCATGCTTACATCAGATAGGGGGATGAAACTCTAAAAGTTCTGATCTTCTTAGTTGGTAAAACATATATGTGTTGAAACACCCAATAATAAAATGTGACATTGTGTAGTTTTGTCTCATATTCATCTTTTAATCATATTTACAGATTTCTTGACTCCACAGCAAACAGAGCAATTTTGTCTTTACTGTTCCAATACTTATGGAGGGCACTGTATATATATATATATATATATGTGTGTGTGTGTGTGTGTGTGTGTGTGTGTGTTTAAAAAAAAACAATATTTCAATAAAACTCCTCACTACCTGCTTCTCACAGCGATTGGCTGCCAACTAGCATTTTTCACTTTACATTTGCATAAATTTGGGCATTTCTCAACTTTTGGATGCTCTTGGCTGCCTTCCGTGCTTACTCCGATCACAATTCACCATGCGAGGTTGAAGCTTGGCTTCCACAGGTATTCATTGAAAATGCCCGCTCTGCTGTGCTAAATTCAACGCATTGTAAACACTCCGTCAGGAAGTTTCGGTTTCATCCAAGACAACTGTAATATTGCCTACAGTGTAACACACAACAAAAACCTGAATGCAAGAGAGTGTTACTGAGAATTATCAAAAGTTATGCTGAGGTGAACTAACTGTCACTTAAATCCAATTTTTGAGATTTTATTTTTTTTGCTGCCCTACTCATAATGACACTGTATACAATGAATGATTATAAGATGGCTGTGAATGATTTGCCATTTGCTCATTAAAGATCAGTAAATTAAGGCCCTTACAGGCATCTCACCAAGATAAGTGGTCTTATCCTACAAAAAAAGGTTTGCTTTAATGACATCTACAGTGATTTATGCAAAGGGCGACTGGAATTTATGCGATTTATGCACTGGGAGATTTATTAAATAGCAAGTCCACTGTTGTTTCACTGCTGCTTTGTAATGAGAACCTTATTCAGCCAGAGCACTTGTTAATCAAAGAACATGGCATCTTTAGAAGTTCTCCTATAGTAGCTGGCTGGAGATGCTCTTAACTGAATGTAGAACAACATGCATATGCATACATGGGGAAGTCGTGGCCTAATGGTTAGAGAGTCGGACTGGTAACCACCTTCAATACCACGACTGAGGTGCCCTTGAGCAAGGCACCGGACCCCCGACTGCTCCCCGGGCGCCGCAGCATAAATGGCTGCCCACTGCTCCGGGTGTGTGTTCACGGTGTGTGTGCACTTAGGATGGGATAAATGCAGAGCACTAATTCCTAGTATGGGTTACCATACTTGGCCACATGTCACTCCACGTCACGTCACTTAATATTTATCAAGGCACAGGAGATAATTAACTGACAAAACACATGACTATCTGATTAAAAAGAGTGTCAGAACCTGCAAATAGCTTTATTTATGAGATACTTGGGCTGAGATTACATGGAGTGAGAAACAGGTCTTCAGGAGGTGATCTGTGCCACCTTTTGCATCGGTGGCTGAACAGTTTGAAGGGTATATTTCATGTGATGTAAAGCAACTCTGACATGATTAGCAAAATAGACCACAAAATAATACTGCATATTCACAGTTAAACAAAGCAATCATCATAGTTCTTATGCAAACATTATTTACATCTTCCACCAAAATTTAATGTAATGTATGAACCACTACAAATGATCCAAATGTGAACACTGTTTGAAATGTTATTGGTAAACATCATGTTAGTGCCAAAAAAGGCAGTAAAACACTGCACTGTAATTAAATAATTATGAGCCATTTTCAGCAAACCGTTAACTATATGCCACACCAGATTAAACAAGGTCCTCTGCCAGATCTGACATAGTTATTTTAGTTAAATTAAATGTCAAACCGAAATGTTGTAAGCATTTAAAATACATATGTGCCAACAACTAACGCCGGTTTCACACCGTATGCGTAAGCAGAGCTTAAGCAGCACATATTTTTTTCGGCACCGCACCGCACACCGCACGCAGAGGCGGCACGGCAGTGCGTAGCAGGAGCAGAGCAGAAGCGGCAGTGCCGCGATCGTTTAGGCGCCGAGTCTATTTTTGCTGCGCCGCTTACGCTCAATTAAAGCCATTGTGCATTTTTCTTGATCAAAATTGACCTGATTAAAATGAAAAATAACACATTTCACCATAAAATCATGTAAGTGAAAAGTTTCGCGTTTCACAATCACCATATGAAAAAAAAATAAAAAATAGGGTACAACAGGGCTAAAGGCATACCTTAAGAAAAAAATGTGCTTTTCACTACGCACATAATGTATGATTGCAGAAAAAATTCAATTAAAGCCATTGTGCATTTTTCTTGATCAAAATTGACCTGATTAAAATGAAAAATAACACATTTCACCATAAAATCATGTAAGTGAAAAGTTTCGCGTTTCACAATCACCATATGAAAAAAAAAAAAAAAATAGGGTACAACAGGGCTAAAGGCATACCTTAAGAAAAAAATGTGCTTTTCACTATGCACATAATGTATGATTGCAGAAAAAATATAGTTTGTATTAAACATTTATGGAGCAACAGATTTTGTGTGAAAATAGACTAAATCATACAAGTGGTTTTTGTTTAAAAATCTTATAAATGTATGAGGTAGCAAGTGGGGCCTTTTACCTACACGGGGTAAAAAGCATGGGGCAAAAGGCAACACAGTATTGATACAAATACTTTAGCTAATTTTTTTTAAAATAATGTCTAAGTTAATACTTGTTCAAAACAACCATTTTAGCAAAGTTTTTCTGCTTATTTTGATAAATAAAATAATTATTTTTTGTAAATATACTGTCATTAAAATATGTTAAATGGGTCATATGATGTGATTTCAATTTTTCCTTTCTCTTTTAAGTGTTACAAGCTCTTGGTGCATAAAGAAGATCTGTAAAGTTGCAAAGACTAAAGTCTCAAATTCAAAGAGATATTCTTTATAAAAGTTAAGAGTCAACCACGCCAACCTAAAACGGCTCGTTCTAACACGCCCCCACGTCTACGTCACGATGTGGGAAGATTTGCATAACGCCGCCCCAATGTTCACGCAAAGAAAGAAGGCGTAACTTATATTCTCGCTGTAGTATTGTTGCTATCACCATGTCGTGAAGACGCTGTGTTTCGTTATGAAAGCGAAACTACTTTGTTTGGCCTTCCAAAAGAGAACGATATCTGCTTCGTCATGCCTGGAGCTGATCTGTGCTGGTCGCTGAGGAAATACATCAACTTCGCGCTGTGGATCGCTGGATCGGCTTTCACTGTGGACGAAGTGGAGTCCAGCCCGGGGTTGTCACATGTGGTTGCCGCAAGCCCACCGGCTGCTCCTTCGTCGAAGCCGGCCTCCGCTCACTCTAGCCCCCGGCCTCCACTCACTCAAGCCCCCCGGCCGCCGCTCACTCTAGCCGCCGGCCTCCGCTCACTAGCCTCCAGCCGCCA